TCGAGGGCGGTCGCCCTCCCCCTTGTATACGTCCTGATAATAATAAATATGTACATAGATCAATCCAAAATCATATCCTACTTGTGCAGTGTAACATTAAAAATGTAGAGCGAAAAAAATGCTAGCCCATCTTACCCGAAGATTAGGTTGTAGTTCCTTATTGAATGTTCAGATCAACAATTATTTCATAAATGCTATAAAATGTATTTTTTAAGCAAATTATATCTGATGATTTGTATAGAACCACTTACTGTTGGTTTAATATTTTTTTTCTTCAAATATTGATTTTAAAATAAAATACAGACATCATTAAAATTGATATCATATTCTGTCGTTTTATAATACAACCCCGTGTAATACATTACCATAATTCAATAAATATTTTAGTCTATTATATAGTACCACACGCCAAAGGTTAATTTTRAAATAATTGTCTCACAGCTTAAATATGATGGTACAAACTACAAATACAGGATTGGTATTATACCAGGGAATGCGAGTACTGAGAATGAAAAAGTATTGTGAATTTAAATATTTATTATTTATATACATATATTCAATACGTCCTATGATTAAAGATTGTACATTTTTAAATCAACTTCCCTGAAAGAATAGGAAGGAAATAACTTATGAAAATATTGAATCCTGTGTAACTTATAACAAATATAATACATAACAGTGGTACACCAAAGCTGTGGTAACTCAGACAATCTGTGGTATAGCGCATTATGTTTGGCATTTCGAACTGGAAGTTCTTACTAATTTTTACGGAATAAATACTGTAGATATTATTATTATTATTATTTAATATTATGATAAATCAAAAGTTATAATAAAATCGTAGAGATTTTAGCGATCGTCCACTTGACTCAATATCAATATCAAATAATTAATCTATAAGCAACTTCTCATGCCCATATAGACTTATGAAATCTATATATATCTGTGTATATATCATATATGTATATGTGGCGCGGGCAAACGGCTAAATTGTTAAATTTAAACAGAATGCAAAGACTTAAATCGATCACCTTGCGCATGATAACTAAGGCCCCCTAGTAACCAACCACAYACTTCACRCAGATTTATACATCAAAACAGACTCAGAAATTTTCTTAATTACCTATAAATAAACGTTATCGTTTATGACAAGAAAACCACCCTAACCCACTAATCTCAATTCTCAGCACTTGACTAAGACACAATATATACCTGGAAACCCTCAAAGGAGACATAAGAGAAGATAGTGTCGTGACCATTATAATTCAATATAACCTTTTTATATAATCTCAACTGCTAGTGCAATAACAAATTGGCAATTTGGGTTAGGAAAATTCAATAAACGACAGTGTGGGCAGTGTGGCACATTTCATGTCACACGCTGTCAGTGACTTTTCAACAGCAATACTAAAAGGTTTGTAAGAGCATTTAACGAATGTAACGAGGTCGTAGAATATTTGAATGTTAAATATGTTATGAAGAGAAAATGTTTAATCGAAACGCACTGATGACTGATAAGTTTTTGAACTTTGTTGTTGTCATGTACCTAATCAAAAATATCTCTGACAATGCCACGATGTAGAGAAGATCTCCTCTACATCGTGGACAATGCTAATAGCTGATATGGAATAAGTCCACTTTATCGGACTTTTCTATGCCGGACACTTTTTTTTCTTAAAATACATGTTTATTACTGTTTGAGAATGCTGAATTAAAAAATGTTTGAAAAAAATTGCGGAAACATATCGTTCATAAGTTACAACACTTCAAAATAATCGATATTATACAGTGTTTACCGGCATAAATCTWATCTATAGTGCCCACGCGAATTTTTTTTTAAACGTAGATAAATTACCGTTTTTAGAATTATGGTGGTAAAAAAAATGGCTAATTTAGCTAATCGAAGAGTTTACTTTATATTACAATTTAAATAATAATAGGTATAAGTATGCAATAATACAAAAAAATATCCCTCGACTTGATGTACAACATCACCTWTGTCAGCACCACAAGTAGGTCACCGGTTAAGTTATGTCTTATGACTCTTATGTTGTATTGTCGTGTAGTAATAACTAATATTTAATAGTAAAAGTACAAATTAAGTACAAATTAAGTACAATAAGTAAACTAAGTAAAAGTATATTACATTCGCCATTTTGGTATATATTACTATTTATTATTACTAGATAAATAGATTTCAATAATATTATAATTATGACATTAGGTCCAACATCATCCCCACTACTTTCAACTTTTCACGATACTACACGAGACACGGCACTAAAATAATGTGCAATGTGCATACTCCGTTCGTACTGTTCGTAGGCTCAGTAATCGCTTATCACTCATAAAGTGATACTAAAGTTAAGCATGGAGTAAAAACCATGAACCATGATCACCATMACGGCACGTGTAATGTCTACAGTATTGTCTTCCATGATAATGTACCGCAATTTATAGGTTACGTTATCTCCTTCCGAAGTTGTTGTCTCTTTTGAGTATTATTACTTCTCCTAAAAAATCATTACTTTTGCACGGCGTATCCCTYAGGTTTACGTCGTTCGTTTGTGATTTTTCATATTAATAATGGTAAGTAATCGAAATTATTCAAACTTAAGTAAACTTATTTCGAATTGTTTAAGTTTTGCGTTTTATACTTTTGTGGATTCGACCGGATAAAATTGCTTACCACTAGCTTTACTTAGATGCTGTCCATCCTTTCAGACATTTTATTAATGACGAAAGCATTTTTGTATGTTAATCATATCGTTCATACTTTCAGGGTTTCGTTAAAGTTGTTAAGAACAAACAATACTTTAAACGTTATCAAGTCAAATTCAAGAGGCGTCGTGAAGGTAAAACTGACTACTATGCACGAAAACGTTTGATCGTCCAGGACAAGAACAAATATGATACACCCAAGTACCGTTTGATCGTTCGTTTCTCTAACCGAGACATCACATGCCAGGTTCGTTTAAATTTGTTTTCAATGCTTGTAATATATTTTCATTAAATGTTCTCTTAACACAGGTTGCACACTCTCGCATTGAAGGAGACAAAATCGTATGCGCTGCCTACAGCCATGAATTGCCTAAATATGGTGTTAAAGTAGGTTTAACCAACTACGCTGCTGCTTACTGCACTGGACTTTTAGTCGCTCGCAGGGTAAGTTATTCAATTTAATTTTTAAGTTGTGACGTCTTKTGTTAATTCCATTTGTTTATATCTAGTTATTGAAAAAACTTGGTTTGGATCGTTTGTATGAAGGATTAAAAGAAGCTAACGGTGAAGAATATTACGTCGAACCTGCTGATGAAGGTCCAAATGCTTTCCGTTGCAATCTAGATGTTGGTTTGATGAAAACCAGTACTGGTGCTAGAGTATTTGGAGCAATGAAAGGAGCTGTCGATGGAGGTTTCAACATTCCTCATAGGTAAATAAAAAATTCTTGTATTTATGTATCTAATTTTTTACTGATAATTTTTGTTTCATAGCGTGAAACGATTCCCAGGCTACGATGCTGAAGCCAAAGAATACAGTGCTGAAACTCATCGTAAACACATTTTGGGTTTGCATGTAGCTGAATACATGCGAAAATTAGAAGAAGAGGATGAAGATGCTTACAATCGTCAATTCTCTCAGTACATCAAATTAGGAATTGTTGCAGATGATGTAAGTCTTTTTATTTTAGCATTAAATAATTTAAATTCATTGAAAATTAAATTTATTAGTACATACTAAATATGTATCGGATAAAAAAAAAAAAAAAAACACAATAGATATAACATTAAAATATTTTATAGAATTAAAAATAGTGAAAATTTTAATTAAAGTTTTGAATTTCTATTGAAAATTATAAATAAACAAATAGGTATTTACTGTCTTAAATGTATCCTCTTTATAACGTGATCCCTGATATTAAGCATTTGTAAAATTGTACAATATTTTAGAAGGCATCGCAACCATATACTGATTACCTAACTATTCAATACGACAATTATTTTTGAAGTAGATCACATTTTTATACTAGTTTACCTATACCTACATTATTATTAGTTTAATAAAAGATTATTTTTACTTCTGCATTATATTAATTTTTGTGATGAGAGATTTTCATAGRTAGAAGGTTTCCTTCCAGATCCCTCAAAACCATCTTTTTTTCCTTCATATGATACTACTWAAACATACAAATTATAGATTTTACTGGGTTAATTGTTTTTTAATAATTGCAAATAATTTCYATTTTATGTAAAAATTTAATTTTTCCTGTACTTTAAACAAGAAAAAACATTTAWACCTATGGCGTAGAATATTATTGATGATTTAGAAAGCAAAGTTATCTATTTCACTTTCAATACACAGATTCTTGATATGCATTCTTTTTCAATAATTAAAATTGCAGTATCTGTAATTGATTCTGTAAATTTGTATTACATTAATAATATAGTAAGAAGGTGCAATACACGTATTTGTTGAATCATTCTTACAGACTACACGTAACATAATAAATTTACACTCTGCAGTTTACGTTTTACTCCATTAGCTTAAAAATTTTAGTGTTTAAAACTMTTATGAATTTTGAAGATAAGAACCTTATTTTTGTTTTGTAAGAAGTATTATTACGATGATTAAGTTTTTAAATGAGTTATGAGCATTTTAATTTTACAATTTATTATTACGCGCACAACTCACTAGAAAAATGAATTATCGTAAAATACTTCCAACCAAAATAATAGTGTTCTTACCATTAAGTTTCATAATAGGTCAAGTTAAWTTTTATTATTAGTTWATTATTATTAATTTTTATTCAAGCTAACTGCTGAGTGTACATTTTCTATGTTACGCGTTTGTAAGACTGAGACAACAATACGGKTGTTGYGCTCTCTTATAGRCTTAAACTTCAAAGTTATGACACGGTATCGCTAAATAATCATTGATAAATGATTCCTATTAGAAAATATAAAATGAATCATATTTTGTTTTTGAAAATCTAATTTTGAACTTAGCAAGTAAAATTTGAACATATATTTTGTTGCACATGATAAAATGGGTATATGAAATCATAATATTGTTTAATAATTAATTCTTCTGAGATTATAGTCATTGTGTATATGATAATGAATTATTTATTTATTTAATGTTACTCTAGWACCAACTATCAAAGAGCTTGTTAAAAATTTTGCGAAACAATCAAAACTACAACTGAGTTAGTTTCTTCACACTCTTCAACTTTAGACTCATCAACATCAATAAATAAATTCATTATTATTTCGTTAAAAAAAAACATCTATATTCATATCTATTTTTTTTTTTTTTACTATAAGTATTTTATATAAAATTTTTTAGAAGTTAGTTAAACATATCAACAGGCTGTTTAGTGTTGCAAAATTAAATATTCATATTGGATTTTAAAAAAAAATCTTAATTTTACAATTTTTTTTTAGTTGGAAAATATGTACAAGAAAGCACATGAAAATATCAGGAGTGACCCTAAACGAGATAGAAAGCCGAAGAAGGAAGTTTCAAAGGAACCTAAACGCTGGAACGCCAAGAAATTGACCAACGCTGAGCGCAAACAACGTGTTGTGGAAGCCAAAGCTGCGTACCTTAAAGAGTTACAAGGCGAAGAGATGGAATCCTAAACCGTTTWATGTGCAAAGTGTGTTATTTCAATAAAACATAAAACTTTAAAAAAAATTTATCTAATATCCCAAATTTTCCTCGTCTTAGTAATCTAACATTTTAAATMATCTTAGAGTCTGAAAAAATAAAAACTTCAAAAATGAGAATTTTACTTTAAAATCTGTGATATAGAACCCAAGTAAATACTCTCACTAAGTAAATTTAATAGTAAGTTATCCAAGTATATTAATAGATACTATATTTTTATTTTAACTAAGATTTAATACAAACTTTTACTTAAAATTCAGAACATATTCATATACTAAKTAAACAACATATCAATGAGCTGGCTAATGTATGTGTCTAGTGGTAGGAGAATACAAAATAGTGGGAGAAGTACTGTCACGTTGACAGTGGCAGTCAAATAATATAAAAAGAATACTAAAATATCGAATATGTTTTACATATAACTGAAAACTACAAAAATATAATATAGCCTATGATGGCTGGCAAACCTTTTGAACAGTGCATGCCAAAAGTTATCTTTTTTTTTAGCGTGCCGTGAAAAATATTTTAAAAAAAGATTAGTTTAGGTGCATACTATTTTAATAATATTACTTTGTTAATATTATTGAWTTTTTGTTATTGAATACTTAATACCAATTTGTTGATATTTGGTTTATAATCAGAACTTTTGTTAAAATACATGTGACACTGCATTCATCAGTTTCTTAAATCATATTTTTATTTACTATTATATATATTTAAGTAAAAAAATTTTAGCTTGCCCAAAAATCATTTCAGTGCCATGGATTTTGCCGTGCCTGGCCSATGACTTAATTTGTCAATATCTCATCTATCAGTTTGGTTCTTTCATTGATCCCGTAAACTTTGATAAATAATATTCCTAAACAATTCATTAAAAACTCAGTTTTTATGTATTGGAATACTCAAAAACATATTTGACTTAAGAATAAGAAATTAAACAGTATGTTATTGAAAAAATTAAAAACTTCAATAATTTTWAAAATAATGAGTGTGCATTAAATGGATCTCTCAGTTTATATTCAAAACAGTTTTTTTCGTGTAATTATTGGAAGTTTTGATTGTTATAAATTATTAATCAGTTATCAACTTATTCACTCAACTGTATGAGTCATTCTATAGGTAACTACCTCTGTGTATACACAGACTAGTATGCTATCCTTCTTTCACTCATATTTTACCATATATTATCTTCTTTCTAACTAATACTATGTCAAATCACTAGAATTTGTATGATCCTTAAGATATTGCATTCTAAAACTAATCTGATCAGTCACAGTATTTATATTGTTTGATAATTACGACTATTTCACTTAGATTTATTCAGTAATCTCTCTAGTTTAATCAACTTAAAAATGTATTAGATCTTTACTAAGTGTTCATAATCCACATTTTAGTTTAATAGTTTACTAAACTTAA